TGATTATTTTTGAAAACTTTGCCACCCTGTATCTCAAAAGTGAAGGCGTTTAGGACATTTGATTATCATCAAATTACCAAAATTTTTGGGAAAATAGAAAAACTTTAATTTGTCAGATGTGACAATTGTCAAAACCGATGGATAGGCAGACGTAGTCTCTCAAAAAGGTCTGTTAGATCTCCTCATAAGAATCCTGTAAGAGATTCGTGAAAACTGAACTATATGTTGCACAACTGCAGTCCATTATTATTATAGAAATTATGATATTTATCTTCATAAAACTACTAATACTCATGAACAGCTGATCTGGTTTTCAAAAATGAACCAGTATTTTAGTTAATTTATTGAATTAATTCAAGCACTAATTGTATTACAATAGTTCTCATGAACATTATCATTTGCTTTCAACCAGATAAGGTTCTAGAAAAATATCAAGCATTCAGCACCTCACTATTCAAAAAATATTTTGATATGAAGGTACCCTCAACAAATCAAACAAGATGATTTAGTGTGTTTATCAATTTCGGATTACCATGATCATGCTTTCTATGTCTAAACATTTGAGTGAACATTGAAGGAGTTCATGAGAAGGCACTAAAGAATATTGAAAAGGAAATTGCAGAAAATATTACTCAATATTCATCAATGAACATTACTGATCTGCAATAATACATTACAGTTTCTCATCACACTGTTCAAGAGACGCGCATCTAACCACAAACGCACCGTGCCGTCTTTTTTGACAGCTGTCATCAAAAAGCTCGCGTAAGAGTTAGCCTCTTAAATAACCTCTCAAATATTCCTCACTCCACCATTTCATTTATTTCCGCTTGTACAGCCATTCTGTGAGCGATTGGAATAGCGTACGGCTTGATATCAAAAGGCTCAGGATTTGTTGAATTTATTGAATGTTGGAACTCACACGTCAGTCAAGGTTTGTCCGAAAACAGGTGTTCATATTTTTTCAAAATATTATTTTCATTTGAAATGTTACTAATAAATACTCTCAACAAAGAAAATTATTTCTTTCAAGACAAAAATGTTTCTTTTCATTCAACAACTCTCTATTGCGAGATTTTTACAAAACAGTTTGCAAAATCACAAATTACAAGAGCTTCTTCAGGCGTGTTTTTTCAAGTTTTCATTAGACATATTTAAAGAAGTTATGTATAATGAAACACGGTTTTGTAAGATTTTTTGTCAAAATATCGCAATAAAATGATTTAAAATACGTTTTTCAGAAATTTATCACTATTGTTACGTTGAAGATTATATGACAAGAATTCAAAAATTTTGCTCTGACAAGTGTTTCCATAAAATATAGTGAAAACAAAATTCATTGAAAACGACATTGATTGAAACATTAATACTAAAATTTAAGAAAAAGTCTAAATCAAATTTTATATTAATTCTGGATGAATTTTTAATTTTTGCCCATGACTTATTTCCCAGCAATTCAGGATACTTGTCTATAAGATTTTCACATTCATATCTTCTTGGAGGTTCCTTTATATCGATGTGATTGTGAATGAATTGTGTTACGACTTTCGTTTGTTGATTTGTCTAAGATACTAGCAACCGGTTTTTTTATTGTCTTTGAATTTTTGTTCACTGTAGCAATTGAAATATCTTATATTTTGTTGAGACGCCTCTATATCTTCCTGAACCAATCATACCCTCAATAATTTCCGAATTATTTTTCATATCATTATCTTCTGCATCTTCCTATTTTAGAATTTAATCATACAGTTTACAAATCTATTTCATCAGAACTTTTTCTCAAACAACTTCAAATCTACTGCCAACAGAGCCAGAGTTATTTTGTTCTGTGTTCAAGTTTCTCATTTCCTGCTTTAGTCAAAATTTCATGTTTCCAGCTTCCAGAGGCAGTTCAAGTTCAAATAGTTATATTTCCGTTTTTCAAATTGCAAAATTTCTATGTCACAACAATCATTTAGGAACCTACTAATATTCATAGAGAAGTTAGGTGATTCAGACTTCTTTTTGGCGTTCATATTTGGCAATAATGTTTACACTCTAAACCACTGGGTCAACCAAGATACTGTGTCTGAATGGAGAAATTCAATTTCTGAGAGTCTATCAAATATCCTTCTCGAACAAATGTAAGTTGATAAAATTCTCTGGTTATGTTTAGGTTTCTAGAATCTTTTTTTGGCAGTTGGAGAAACGTTGTCTGCTGACATTCATGGAAGTTCTTAAGCTTTCTAATCAAAACTAGTCTGTTGGACACATACTATCAAATTGTATCCTTTGTTGTGGAGTTTTTTATCGGACTGACAGATTTTTTTTATGTTTCCATAATATTTAATGAAAATAAAATCATAAACGGAACGGTAAAAAAATGGAATTTCTTTGGAATCTTTGAGCAGTCTCCCATGTAGTGTCATTGAAACTGTTGTTGAATTATAAACAAACTTGTAATTTGTTTTCCTTTCGATAGAATTAGATAGTAAAGCTAAAATATCTTCTGTTTCTCAGTAAAGCTGAAGTATCTACTGTTTCCCCACCATGATTGTGTTGAATTTATCTTGTAAAATATTTTCAGTTTCGGGAAAAAAAAATTCTTGTAGATTTTATTCTGGATATTTTATGTCGTTCTTTTTGACACCCGCTTCATTTACCAACTTATCTTGTTCATTTGTTGTACTTCAAATTGCATATTCGTCACTATCTCCAACCTTTGACAAAATGATTATACTGAAATTTAAATTAAACGAATTCAAGACTTCAGTTGTCTCATCTATGAGATATGAAAACAATATTTATCCCTTTTTTTAAGGGGACAAGATATCAAGGTCGGAAAAAATGTACTTAAAAGGGTATCATTTTTGTTCGATTGATAACCGGTTTATTTTGTAGAAATTCACATTAAATATATGATATAGAATATAACTTTTGTCGGATTTCTATTTACTTGTGATATAC